GATGGTAGGGTGTGGAACCAGTCCTGAGCTGCTCCCCGCAGGGTCATCACAAACACCTTGCACATCAATGCGTCGTCGGCCTTGTGTAGGATCATGACACTTTTGAAGTGTTTTAGGTGGCTTTCGGGATCGGAGTCTCCCTTGAAGGGCGTAAACGAAGGCGTCGAGAACCGCTTCGGGGGAGCCGCCTGCTCAATTTCGATAGTGAAAGGCGTGGAGTTAGCTTGGTCCATCTCCTTGCATAGGGCATCTTCGAAGTTCCCGCCGGCTTTCAAGTCTCGTAGTTGGTCACTCACAAGCTTCTTGACGTCCTCTGCACGCATTGCTGGTTGGACACGCCGGCGACCCTCGCGATTTGGACGACGCTGGTTGACCTCCTCATTGATTCGCAAGGTTCGAGCTTCTTGGCTGTGTTGCCTAGGCGGCGTGTTGGTGGACTGCGCTTGCGAGTGATTCTCCGCAGCTTGTCGACGAGAATCGGTCCTTCGAGAGTGAGCAGCGGAGCGCCTTTCCTCGCGGTTCTCACTGTGAAGGTTGTCAGGTTGACCTCCTTGGGAGCCTAGCCTTTGAAGAATGTTCCTCGACAAGTGAACAGCAGAGCGCCTTTCTTCACGATCCTCATTGCGATGGTCGTCAGGCTGATCTCCCTGGGAGCCTAGCCCTCGAGGAGCATTCCTCTGCGGGCCTAGGCGGTCGCGGACGTGGAGTCGTGGGCCTAGCCTTCCTTGCGCATTGCTTTGAGTGTGGCTTGCGGATGCTTGTGATATGTTGGCGAGCTGATCACGTTGTTGTCCCTCTCCTTGTCTGCTCATGCCTGCTTGACCTGCTCGGCGCCCGTCGATCTGCCTGTTGGCGTAGTCGTCCATCCTTCTCTCTTCGCCCAGTGGTCCAAGGCCAAGATTTTGAGCTAGATTGATTTGGTTGAGGAGCTGCCTCATCAAATTGCTTTGGTCATCCATTCTCTGAGCTAGCTGGTCAACTCTCATATTAAGGTCTGCTTGACTTCGTGGATCGGGAGGAGAGAAGTGTGTGGAGCCCAACTGCATACGGGCTAGGGTTTCATGAGAGGTGTACGTGGAAGCGTGCGTCGAGCATGGAGGCAATGGAGGGAATGCTTGAGGGATTATGCGTCGGGTTGATCGGAGAATCATTGATTACTAGCATCACATCATGTTTATTGTCAACCTTCACATCCACGAAGATCGGATTCTAAAACCTTCAATGATAATGTGTTCTTTTAAGTTGTTGTTAAGGCAAAATAGCCTAGTGATATAGTGAAAGGCATTTTAAAATAAAGTTGCAGCACATGCTCAGAAATACTGCCATTAGGAAATACAAGGAGCTATCAAACTCCTATAGAAACCTTCTAAAACCTAGCCTAGCTTGAAAAAAACTGTCTCAAATTCCGGCTCACACAAGTTAAACATTTAATTTATGATTTCAAAGCAGTATAACATCTTACATGGAACAAATAGCTAAAACATAACCCAGCGGACCTCCCTCGATTGTATTGATGATCTCGAGAATGACAGGAGCAGAATCACACTTGCATAGCTGAAAAGCTTGCTTAAAAATCAGAAGAGGGAAAATGACATTAATAAGCAACAATACCATAGAGAGACACCTATGTCAACGAAATTTCGTCGGTAGAGACCTATGCCGGCAGACATTTGCGGGATATTGGACCATAGAGAGAGAGAAGGGGAAACATAGTTCATTGACAGCATTAATATGACAGAAGCCCCACATATTCATAAGCTCAATATGCCTTAGATAATCATGCCAAAGGGATAACATACTCTAAACAAAACAGACAATTAACTGCAATCCACCGTCCAAGGACGAATCACTGCTGTGGGAGCAAATTTCCTCCCACGGGAATATTCAGTTGAAAGATTCCTTCGTCTTCTCCGCCTCTCTTTCTCCCTGCAAAACGAATAGCAATAAGAGGACCACACCCGGGGGCTGTTGGCCAAAGGCCCTCCGATGCCTAAATTAGTTCAAGAGTTTTGTAAAGAAAACACTAGCTAACTAGGGTACAGAGTTATATGTGTTTATGGGGTAAACCGGGCGGCCAGAGCCTTATGTAAAAGAGGGAGAGAAAGGAGGTGGCTAGGGTTTCTGAGAGATAATTTCTGCAGAGTTTCAGTAGGAGTTTAGACGTACCTCAACCCTTGTGTGTGGCCATCCTTTTATAGAGGTTTCGGGAGCTAGGGTTTCAAAGGAATAATTCCATAGATGGAAGGGAATTATTCCTCCCCAATTTGGCAAGATTTGACTAATTAGGGATTTGATTTATTAGGAATATAAATCAAATCCCTAATTATGGTAATCAGATCGTTACCTAATTTAATTAGGTAACTCCTCCTTTAATTGAGAATATTCGCAGGAATCAAATCAATCCTCAACCTAATTAGGTAACATTCTATTTAATTGGGTAATCCCCAATTAAATTGAATAATTCCTAATTAGATCAAATTATCCCCAAATGGAAGGAATTATTTGACCTAGGGTTATGAATTAATTCGGTTCCCACAACTGCCATTGTACAAACAAAATGTCATCAACATCTAACTGTAAAGGGTATAGAGGGATTCTGGCCAATGATGAGGAACCAAAGTAACTATTAGGCTTCGATTCTTCCAAAGTAATTAAGAAGCAAGAGACCTTCAACAATCAGATTTCATTGCTATCAAATTAAACAACAAAAACAGATTGATAAATAGTAATTAAGTAATATCTTAGTCTTATTTAATCACTTTAATTATAAGTCATATTTTAATTATTATTTCTTTAGTGAATAATTAGTATTTAAATACATTTAAGCCAAATTAATTAAAAAAACAAAAACCAAACCAAGAATGCCGTCTAGTTTGACTTGGTGGATAGGATTTCCATTGACGTGGTAGCCATTGTCATGGCGGCCCGACTAAGACTAATCCAAGGAAATAGGGCCACCAAGTTTCCAGGCCCGTCTGGTATCTGCTATCCCATACCACAACAGCCTAAAACCAATTCATTCAAGTTATCCAATCCAAACGGATCTGTCGACCTCTATACTTCCTAGAAAAGCCGAAGAAACTGAAAAGACGGTTTACACGACATCATCTTCTTCATCCTCTGCTTCGTTCTTCCACCTGCTATTTACAAAACCTTCACATTTCTTCAGTCCCAATCCGCCATGGCAGCTCCATCGGCACCTCTAAACCTGTGCACAGTGCTCAACGAATCGAAGCGCATAGTCAACGCCCACTCCCGCCACTTCTTAGCCCTCTCAGTCCTCTTCCTTCTCCCTCTCTGTTTCTCCTCCGTCGTCTACCCAACAGTCCAAAACCTCCTCAGCGATCCATCCCCAAACAACTCCAAGATATTCCTCCAAATTTCTACTTTCAATCCTCATCAACACCAACCCATAATCGCCACCAAACCCCTTTGTATCGCTCTATCTTTCTTCCTCTTCATCTTCGTGTTCTCTCTGTGTGCCGTGGGATCGATCACCTACAGCGCATTTCACGGATTCTATGGCCGACCCGTCAAACTCATCTCCGCAATCAAATCCGTTTTATACTCCTTCTTCCCCTTATTGGGTACTGTTCTTGTTTCCCAGATCCTTGTCTTATTGGTTTTCATTGTTTTTGGGCTAGTGTTGTTTTTGGTGGTTCGAGGGGCTGAGCTGATGGGTTTCCAGATGGAGTACAATTCCCCTTATTTTATTGGGTTTTTAGCTGTTCTTGCGATGGTTCTGTTTCTGGTTTTGCTCTATCTTCAAGTGAATTGGACCCTAGCTTCTGTGGTGGTTGTGGTGGAATCAAATTGGGGGTTCGGATCCTTAACTCGAAGCACGAATCTGATCAAGGGAATGAGAGGGGTAGCCTTGTCTTTGATGCTGTTTTTCGGGTTTTTCTTTTCGATTTTGGGGTTCTGTAGTTGGGCTTCGGCATTGGATTTGGATGGAGATACTGATGGTTGGAAGAGTTGGGCATTTGTAGTGCAAATTGTGGTGACTTCCACTTCTCTTATGCTGCTAATGCTCTACAACGCAGCGGCGAACACGGTGTTGTATATGTATTGCAGGGCTCTTAACGGCGAGCTCGCCATGGAAATTGCAGAGGAGTTTGCGACGGAGTATGTGAGCTTGCCCTTCGACGATGGAAAAGTTCCTCATCTTGTTTCTGTTGCCTATACTTGATCATGAGTCTGAGGTCAGTCAGCTCTGTGATGGCTCATCAAACTGAGAATGCTTGCACTCCTTTGTTAGTGTAGTTTTTTAGTTCATCAGACTTTGTGTAAAGAAAAAAGGAATAAAAATCAAAGATATGTGAAAGATGCAAATTAGGGTGTGAAAAATGTTAGTGGGTTTAGGTCATCGGACTTGTATGAAATCATGTTAAGTATTTCAGTATCTTATTATTTCAACGTTTTTACATTGATTGAAAAAACCATTTGCTTTGTTTGACGTTTTGGATTGGCCTCACTCTTGTTAGGGGACACAAAAGTTAAACAAGTATTTCGGTTAACATCGAACACAAGAACAAGGGAGGGATTTTGAGAAGGACTGGTTTTAACTTTTAATGAAACATTATGAAATGAATGGATGATTTGATATTAAGCATAAGCGCCATGGCAAGCCATTGACCCTAAAAAGCCATGGCTTGCAATTCGTTGTTGACAGTGCTGAGCAGAGCTCAGAGCCTAATGAACGGCCCCAACGGCAACTTCTTAGACCTCTCAGTCATGTTCCTTCTCCCCCTCGCTTTCTTCTTGTCCACCGTCGTCTACCCAGCGCTCCTTGATTTCTACACCAACCCATTTCTCACAACTCCTGTTTCTTCTTCTGAGCTTCAGCAAAGCCAGCCTGCCGTCCCCGACATGACCCTTTTTACTTTCGTCGCCTTTCTAATTTATGTCTCTGTCTCTTCTCTGTTGGCCGTCGGGTCCATTATTCACAGCGCCTCCCACAGTTTTCACGACCGACCGGTGAGGCTGACCTCGGCCATTAAATCGGGACTGGCTTCCTTCTTTCCTATGCTGGGTACCCTTGTGGTCTCCCAGGTGGTGGATTTGTTGATTTTGAAGGCGTTTGGGCAGTTTGTGTCTATGATTGGGCCATTTCATTTCATTTTCATGGCGTTCTCTGTGGTGAGTACGATTGCTCTGTTGCTGTACCTCCAAGTGATGTGGAGCCTTGCCTTTGCGGTGGTTGTGGTGGAACCCAGTTGGGGTTTCGGTGCCCTGCTACGAAGCTGGCGTTTGGTTAAGGGGATGAGAGTGAGAGGGGTTGTCTTCTCTATGATGTTGCTGCATGGGGTTTTCAGTGCAATGTTAGGTTTTCTTAGCTGGGTTTTGGAAATGGGGTCGGAGGCGGCTGTTTGTGGATGGAAGAGTTGGGCAATTGCTGTGCTTCTTGGCCTGACCACGATTCTGCAGATGATGGTGCTGCTCTGCTATGGAGTGGCAATCACCATCTTGTATTGCAAGGCAGCTAATGGTGAGGAGGAGGAGGTGGTGGTGGTTTCTGATCCAATGGAGTATGTAATATTGGCTTTGGAGGATGATTAGAAAGGTTCTGCTTCTGCTGGTGTTGTACCTGTTTAGGCTTTGAACAATAAAGTGCTACGTGATTTCAATGATGTAATTTCTCAACAAAAAAACAGTAGTGTAAATTTTAACAATAGACCACGCAAGCCAAAACAGCCGATCGAGTATTGTGACAGCAAACTTGCCATTCAGATAGTCCCTAAAATTCAACAGAGGTGAACCTGCAATTAAGCTCGGACAAAATACAAAAGTATGTGCATCTCAGTTAAACCCAAATTTTCAAATTTCTATACAGCGCATGTCATGACTTACCCATGAAGCCCTGAAATGAAACTAAGATCTCAAGGCCAATTACGGCCCCCCACAAATGAAAGAATATTGAAATTTCCCCCTTAGTAAAATCAAAATAGCCTAAGCCCCATTAAATCACACTTGATCACAGCATTCTAGTGTTAGCCAGGCTAGAGGATGATGCTTTCAGTTTGCCAACCCGTTCATCTTGATCAGAGCCAAAGAGAAGGTTACTCCAGTTTGTTGACCTTTGGACGATTCTAGAAGGAACTCTATCACTATCTTCTCCACCAGATGCGTCATACCCATCACTGGTTGATCTTGATAGTGGCATTCCCTTCTGACCAGCAGCAACAGCAGCAGGCAGACCCGTAAGCCGCCTTGCCTCTTCAGCTCCTGATGAGGACACCCGGAAGGGATGGATGTCAGGTGAGTCTAAACTGCTATCAGGAGAAGAAGCAACAATCCCTGTGGAGCTTGACATTGCTCGGCTTGTTTGGAAAGCACTCCGAGCTTCAAGCTGAAGAGGGGCCAAACTAGTTGATGTCTCAGTAAAGCCTTTGTCAACAGCTTTAGCCGAACCCTTTGTCAAAGCATCCATGGGAAGGTCGGCTGGGAGGCGCACCCGCTTCGTAGTTCGCCTTCGATTATTGTCAGGCCTTGGAACCATTCGGCGGCCACTGCTGCCAAAGCTGCTGTCTCTTTCTAGCCCAAAAGGAGCATCACGTCTCACAGGCTGCAGGATCTTCGACTTCTTTCTTGCCTCTGCCGCAGCTTTTGATACCTCTTCAGCATTTAATCTTGCCAGAGTCCACGGACTGATCTTTACTGCTGTATTCTTCTTCTTAACTGGTTCCTCTCCCACCACCTTTCTTCCATACGAACTGACAGATCCAGTCTCTGGGGGCACAACATCAAACTGGAAAAAGAAAACAACGCAAACAAATCAGCCCATTTTCATTATTCTAATATCTAGATTGTCACTGGAAATACCAGCTCCAGGCAATACAAATGATAGGACATGGGGGAGAATTCCTCTAGAAACACATCAATTGGGAAAGAACTACCCATTGGAAGGGCAATGGATTTTGAAACTGTAAACAAGTGTAAACAGATCGGGGAGCATCATTATCTTAGATCCACCGTAGCAAAATGGTTTCCTGTCAAATTACCTGATCTTCAAGGAACAGACGTGGAGGTGTACACCATGCACCTCGGTGGAAAGTAGTAAAGGAGCTTGCACTGCTTAATCCAGTAAGTGAGCTAGCAGGAGACATTTGGGGACTATGCTGACCTCCAACTCCTTGTTGCTCTTGCTCCTGCTCCCTCAAAGCAATGATGTAATCATACGTGCTGATTCCCTACACAAATTCAGATTAACATTATTAGCTTCTAAAAAATATACGCTGCGTGAAAAAGGATAAAGATAGGCAGATAACTTTTGGGGAAGAAATTAAGGATGTGAAAATGGGAAAAAATATTGAATTAACAAGCATTTCATTGTCAAGCAATTATTACTTTTTATTCACTATTAGAGGGATGACTAACGACTAGTGATAAATACACATTGGATGCATGAAAAATGGATCCCCAAACTGCAACGATAAAAATGATCCAGACAATTATAACAAGGATTTGTGATATTCTATAGTAATATAAATGGAAAATGATCGTGTAGGAAGCAATTGCAACGCTAACCTTCTTTATAAGGAGGATGTGAAAAAAGAAAAGTTGTGCAAGTGGCAAGGTTGCAATCATAGCCAAAAGGGTACACACCGCCTGCAAAGTTGAAGATTAGATTTCATTAGATCTAGAATAGAAGCACAAATCAGATAAATAGATTCTCTAAACTAGCAAAAGCCAATTACAGAAGGCTGATTAGGACTTGGGCTCACTTGAACAGAGACAATTGCAGAACACTCACCACCACAATAATGAAAGGTGCCAAAGAGAAACTGCTCCCCAACTTGGTAGAAATATCCACAGAGAACTGCTTCCTCTCAACAATACAGCAGATAAGCACGAAGATTCCAGTTGACCATTGTAAAATAAGCTGCAATCTCAACCCCAAGGTGTACAAACCATGTACATACCTGTCAATAATTAGTCAAAATAAAAATGACTTGAAAATTAAAAAAAACTTACTTTGGCGTGAGCTTCAGGTCCTGGCGGGTTGCTTTTGGGAATTATAGCAGAGAAAATAGGATAAACTAACCATGTAAGACCAGGAATAGTTCACCATTTTTGACATTGTTTAGAAGACTATCAAGGTTAACAATTGGGAAGGCCAATGGTGAAAATGAAATTGATTAAAAATATTGCCAAGCAAAGAGCCCCTACGAGTTCCAGAGTAAAGCTTCTATAGAGATCATTGATGACTTATGGAATCACTGTCAAAATGTCATCAAGATTTTAGAGAGAGGACCTTGATATGGCTGAATGGCGAAAAGAAGATCCATGTGTCTGGAACGGGAGCACTCTCAAAGGCGGGTTATAAGGTTCTTAATATATACAACAAGAGACAATATGCCGGTGATTGTAAGCTTGATCATATGAAAGATCCTAAGAAAGGAAAACAACGGAAGGTTATGCTTACCAAGAGGAGAGAAGTAACCATAAGCGTGAAAAATTGTCGGTAATTCTTTTTTCCAATACAGTTGTTAAGCCACTACAAATCAAAATGGAAATGGCATTAGAGGAATTACAAAGACACAACATAATAATATTCACCAAACTAAGATCATGCATACCCGGCAGTGATGATCAAACCGGTCAACACATTTGTCACAAACTCTGCAGTGTTTGCTGTACTTGAAAACCTGATGCAAACACTTATTCACATCACTTTGTTGTACACAATCAATGCAAAAGCAATGCAATAATTTCAAGAGTGGCTAGTGGATGGTTGCACGTAATTTGAGTTTGAGAAGATGTCAAGAATACAATAATTCCCAACAGGTTAATTTTTACTCAAGCTTTCTCATTTTGAAGACAAAAAAAGAGCTAGTCGAACACACCCTATTTAATTCTTCAGTAGGATATCTCCTAAATGAAAACCAAAACTAGCATGCCAAGTATCTGCATGCAATGCCATTTAACTGACACCCCCAATGAGTCCTTTCCAGTTTCCCCAGCTTGTTATAGATTATAGAACACAACTGAACAAATGTACAGTGGAAAGCAGGAATCTTTGTAGAATTCAAGTTCATTTGCACACCTCAACTTCACACAAACTGCAATAGAACATGCCTTCTTCACTCATTTGTTGTACAGAAGATTCCTCACTCGAACTGGAGCAATTGCAGATATATGCACACGGAGAGCAAGCCAACAGGAAGCACGATGAATGTTCTGATTCATTCTTTGTTCCACCTTCACTGGCGGACATTTTGGAAGTCGCGTCTTTGCCCAAACCATCCTTATCCAGAGGTTTTCCTCCAACTGTTACAGCATTAGCATCATGCATTGATGATGTTGACTCCCCACATAGTTTAGAATCTTTTGTTCTATTATGCTTTTCATCGGCAGGAATGTTGAGATATTTCTTTGACCTAAAAACTCCTGGGTCTGCAGGATCAGCAGCTGCACACCAAATATATAGGCCGAAGACACATGTAATCTGAAGAAGAAAAAAAAAAGAGCTATGTTACTTCTTATTGAGAAGAATACATAGGTAAATAATATACCATATCATAGGCAATCATGACAAGCATAAATATATTTCGTTGACTGGCACATCAAACACACTACTTGAAGCTCTAGATTTCATTTTCTTTTTTCACTTGTCATGAATTAAAACAGAGTACCATCTATTTCGAATGATTGCCTTCGTACCATCTTTAGATTTCCCTGACCTAAGTATCCTTTTGTTCTGCATACTTCTTTTTATCAAAATTCACCAGCAATGTGAAATTAAATGTGGTCTAGATTCTCGAGGCCGTGAAAATAGAGAGCAACATAGATTGGCGCCAGAAACTTCAACTCAACTATCCATAAAATTAACACAACTGGTTTGCTATCAAAGAAACGGCTGCGCGGACTAAAGATACTATTTTTCATCTGAAGAGGGGTTTGCAACAATTGTAGCAATTACTTCAAAATCTCAAAGGACCTCATATCAACAAAATTGAAGGACGTCACACGAAAACCAAATGATGCGCTTTTGCTCACAAAGTTGCAAAAAGCTCTGTTCTTTTAACACATCAAGTTTGGAATTCATGCAACTGAAATCAGGAGCCGTACAAGGCAAATATAAATGTTAAAAGACAAGCAACCCATTTCCCTATCAGCTAAAGCAACGAGTTGATGACATCTCGAAGAATCCGCGGATAAGAACCAAAATAAATGAAACACACAGGAAGGAGCAAGAACCCAGATTGGAGAAATTATTTTAGGCATATATAACTAAGCACGGATCTCAGTTCTTAAACCACAAAAAATGAGTAGAAAATCATATAAAATGGGGGATTCAAGAAAGTAGCTTACAAGAGGAGTGTAGAGGCCCATCACAACATACTGAAAAATCCTCTTTCCAACAAAAGGAGCAAAGAACACATAGAAAGCAAAGGCCAACGCCAGAAATACAGCAACAGCCACCACCTTCAGAAATAAACAAAATTAGTACATCAATTGGCTGAGCTAACAACAATGCTAAGATTTTTGGAACTATACCTGGAGAGGATGGTAAGGTAGTTGCCATCCATGCTTCCTCATTTTCTGTTTGTATACTGCCGAAGACCCAAGATAGAAAAGAAGACGATACAATGTATGGGGCAAGAAAAAGAATGACTTGGGTATCTTTAACTCGTTTGTCTTTTATTTTTTTCCTCCACTTTCCCTCATTTTCCGGGAAAAATAAAGGTAATTGATTCACTATGGAACAAACCCAACAGAGATTGCATGAACATTTTCCAGGACGGTGTCTAATCAGAGAGGAAAAGGAGCTCAAAGGTGGAGATAGATACGACAGGCAAGAGGTAGTGGGTTTATGGGCAACAATGAGGAAGCTTTGTCCTGGCTCACTCAATCATAACCTTAAGTTATGGAAGGTGAGAAAAAGAGAGGGTCTTTGCTGGTTTTGGGATTTTGGGTTTTCTCTTGTTTCTTCTTGCAAGGCTTTTTTACTTAGCAAAGATCCATGACTGTACACAAATGAGATGAGAGAAAAAGAGGAAGAGAGAGAGGGTGTCTCTGGTCTGGTTTTCTTTCCTTGCCTATAATTACCTACAACACCTTTTACTTTTTTATTGTCTGTAGTGTTACCTTTTCCTCTGGGCAAATCATGTGTCACAGGCCAGTGTATGCAACAGACAGTTGTTTCCTTCTCCTTTTTGTAATTGACCACAACCCCCATCTTTAAAAAAAGGGAAAAAAGTTTTTTTCTTTTTCTGCATAATATGGTGATGGTGGCTTACGCTGTGTAATTGGATAATCTTCCTCTTGTGGAAAGGAAAAGCACAGTTAAGAGAACAATTGGGGAGAATTGTGAGTTTTGTGTTGAATTTCTCCTTTTGAACTGGTGGGAATACCATTTTTTTTCTTTCTTTTTTCTAGTAACTACTTCAAGATATTGGACAAATACCTACTAATATTAAATGCTGTTTTTTTTGTTTCATGATGTTGTCCAAAATTATAAAGGGGTAGTTGGTTGGTTGATGCCTACACAACAAGAGGAAGTTTGGATCCAGCAGCCAAGCCAATCATGTGTTAAGAATCTGTCATCTGTTGTGCCCACCATAAAACCTTCTATAACTTGAGTTTAGAGCAAATTTTTGCAATTTTGCTATGAAAGAACCCATTTTGGTTTGGTCCCCCCTACTCATATTTTGTCTCTCTTGGCTTTGATGAATGCTTAAGGTTCACGTTTGTTGTTTTGCACTCCATTACTTAGCTAAATTAATTGTCCTGTCATATCCTATGTGTTAAAACGTCGTTGCCATCTTAAATTCTAACCTTTGTCTGCAAATTTCTGCTACTTGGTTGTCGCTGTGATTCTGCACTATGTCTTTCAATCTCGTTTATCAGATTTTTGAGTTCAGCTGGTTAAAAAAACAAGCTTTGCTCAAATAACTCGGATATATGCAAACATATTACCAAACACAAGGCCAATTTTGTGCTTGAATTGAAGATGTGTGAGTCGTGTTGAATTGGATATTAACAATTGGAAAATACTCTTTCCTCCTGATTTTGTAAGTAGAAACTTCTACATTCCTATCCTGCTAATAGCAGTGTGATATGTGTATAGAAATTTTATTTTTTTTGTGTTTTTTATAAATTAATTTTGTATATATATTAAACTGTAATTCGCATAAATAAGGAATAACTCTTTATACGAAATGAGGCAAACAGTATCTTAACAATTTGCAGGAGCCAGAAGTAAAGAGAGTGAGTGACTTAACAGTGAGAAAGGCTAAAATGGACAAAAGTAAGGAAGGGGTATGGGGCAGATTGCCAAGTCCATGCAGGGACTGGTTATTGTTTCTAAAAACCTTTTTGTCAATTTGCATTTGGCATTTTCTTGTCAGATTTTGGACTTGATGACACATAAATAAAAATATTAAAAACGCTACAACCATGGCCAATTTGGTTACCAAAGAGATTGTAATTGGACCCACATCCAATGGTGTGGAGTGGACCATTAACTCGTTTGTCTTTTATTTTTTTCCTCCACTTTCCCTCATTTTCCGGGAAAAATAAAGGTAATTGATTCACTATGGAACAAACCCAACAGAGATTGCATGAACATTTTCCAGGACGGTGTCTAATCAGAGAGGAAAAGGAGCTCAAAGGTGGAGATAGATACGACAGGCAAGAGGTAGTGGGTTTATGGGCAACAATGAGGAAGCTTTGTCCTGGCTCACTCAATCATAACCTTAAGTTATGGAAGGTGAGAAAAAGAGAGGGTCTTTGCTGGTTTTGGGATTTTGGGTTTTCTCTTGTTTCTTCTTGCAAGGCTTTTTTACTTAGCAAAGATCCATGACTGTACACAAATGAGATGAGAGAAAAAGAGGAAGAGAGAGAGGGTGTCTCTGGTCTGGTTTTCTTTCCTTGCCTATAATTACCTACAACACCTTTTACTTTTTTATTGTCTGTAGTGTTACCTTTTCCTCTGGGCAAATCATGTGTCACAGGCCAGTGTATGCAACAGACAGTTGTTTCCTTCTCCTTTTTGTAATTGACCACAACCCCCATCTTTAAAAAAAGGGAAAAAAGTTTTTTTCTTTTTCTGCATAATATGGTGATGGTGGCTTACGCTGTGTAATTGGATAATCTTCCTCTTGTGGAAAGGAAAAGCACAGTTAAGAGAACAATTGGGGAGAATTGTGAGTTTTGTGTTGAATTTCTCCTTTTGAACTGGTGGGAATACCATTTTTTTTCTTTCTTTTTTCTAGTAACTACTTCAAGATATTGGACAAATACCTACTAATATTAAATGCTGTTTTTTTTGTTTCATGATGTTGTCCAAAATTATAAAGGGGTAGTTGGTTGGTTGATGCCTACACAACAAGAGGAAGTTTGGATCCAGCAGCCAAGCCAATCATGTGTTAAGAATCTGTCATCTGTTGTGCCCACCATAAAACCTTCTATAACTTGAGTTTAGAGCAAATTTTTGCAATTTTGCTATGAAAGAACCCATTTTGGTTTGGTCCCCCCTACTCATATTTTGTCTCTCTTGGCTTTGATGAATGCTTAAGGTTCACGTTTGTTGTTTTGCACTCCATTACTTAGCTAAATTAATTGTCCTGTCATATCCTATGTGTTAAAACGTCGTTGCCATCTTAAATTCTAACCTTTGTCTGCAAATTTTTTTGTATATATATTAAACTGTAATTCGCATAAATAAGGAATAACTCTTTATACGAAATGAGGCAAACAGTATCTTAACAATTTGCAGGAGCCAGAAGGAAAGAGAGTGAGTGACTTAACAGTGAGAAAGGCTAAAATGGACAAAAGTAAGGAAGGGGTATGGGGCAGATTGCCAAGTCCATGCAGGGACTGGTTATTGTTTCTAAAAACCTTTTTGTCAATTTGCATTTGGCATTTTCTTGTCAGATTTTGGACTTGATGACACATAAATAAAAATATTAAAAACGCTACAACCATGGCCAATTTGGTTACCAAAGAGATTGTAATTGGACCCACATCCAATGGTGTGGAGTGGACCATGCAAATGGGATAAAGACCGAATTTTTTACCGCCTTGATTGGGTAAAAAATATGAGGTAAAAAGTTGAATTGAAAAAAGGGGTTTGCGTATAGTCACTGACAGAGTTGTTGGGTGCATTAAATTCTTTGGATCTCTCTATCTGTCTGTCTGTGTCTCTCTCTCGGACCTCAAAACCCCAAAAAAAAAAAGGGTTTTAGTATTTCATCACCTATTTCTAATTACGTTGACCATACAGATGCTTACAGCCGTTGATGTACTGCATGTATACGTTTTGATAGATGATGAAAGGGACGGTCCAAAAAGATACACGTCAGCTTCTACATCATACAAGCTGTACTGAATAATTGATTGCTACTGTTCAGCTCTTGTTCCTTTCCACGACGGGACCATCTGGTAATTGGCATGCAGATTGAGAGAGAGAGAGAAAATCAAAATTTACTCATCTCAAGAGGTAACATATTTTATCGGAAATAAATAATAGCCTTAATTGTAGAAATAGTCCTACCCTAAATTATGTGTTGTTTGACTTACCAAGAACGGAGATTCAAACACAGGACCTCAAAACATGTTCCGTTTTGTTTTATAAAGAAGAGAAATTCAATCACATAACCTCGATTGTAAAGATAAATACTGTTAAACACTCAAAGTTACAAACATGTGAGTTAGTTCTTATTTTCGTTGGATAGAAGTCAAAATCCAACCAACTAGTTACTTACTTCTACGCAAAATATAATAAGATAATAAGAGAATATGGATGGTAGTATAAGAGAACAAGAAAATAAAACACATGGAATAATACAAAAATTTGGTTTATAATAAGACTAGTTGGGTTTGCGCTTTGTTTTTTTTAATGAGAAGCTCATGTCAAAGATGAAGGCGATAGGATTATAGACCCGTGACCATCCTCTTTTGATCTTTTCCTTTTGCCTTTTTAGTTGTTTATGGACATGTGATTGGTAAAGCCCGTGACATAGCTTCCTCTTCCTCCCCCCCCCCCCTAGTAACCAATGGTCCCTTCACCTAATACGAATTTATAATTAATTAAGCATTATCTTAGACTTTTAATAATAAACAAACACTTTTTCCCCTTATAAAAATATATATTATACAGAAAAGTATGTACGTGAGAAGAAGATCAAAAGAGAGCACTGAGTGAAGTCATGTGGTCAAAACTAGAAACCCTAGAGAGGCAAACTTATTTACTCATATCCACAAACAATTGTTTGCAATTCCGATTGGTGGACCCAAAAATAGACGTACGAAAGAGATCCTCTATGAATAACAATAGTATGAAGTTGCTTCAATTGGTTGCAAACTGCGAAGGCAAATCCCCATATATATATATATATATATATTTTCTAAGTCGTCGATGGAAACATATGAAAAAGACGGGGTGATTCAAATGCAATGCAAGTTCATCCCGCACACAATAGCTTAATTTTAGTTTTTACGGTGAAGATGAAAGTCGAACTCTATCTTATAATTAATGAAGATAAGAAAACATAGCTCTGAATTCATATCATAAGAAGTAGGACCATGACAAATTTAAAGCTCCGGGTCATTCTTCAGTCTTTACTCGATGGGAAATTAAAGAGGGTTGTGTGGGTGTGATGGATGTCCTTTTTGGCTTTTGAAATATTACATTATTACTTTAGACAAACCTGTTGGTGCATTCAATCATGCATGCCTAACCTCCCCACACCGCTGCTATGCCTATGCCCCACCCTCTCCCCCCCAATTGGCCTGAAAAATGAGATAACAAATCATAGCCCAATTTTGGCCCAGAATTTACAATGTAATTGCGGGCTGGGCTGGGCTCAATTTCAGGCTACTACTGTATAAATTGTTGTGCAACAGGCTTTTGTCCAATTGAAATTTGGAAGATAAATATATCTCTGCCATGTGCTACTTTACACTTCACAAGCAAAGCTATAAATTTCAAGAACATGGGGGTTTTAATGCTTTTTTGCAGCCATCCATGAAGCTGCTATGTCTCTTAATTTTATATGTTTCTACTCTCACATCCTTGAACCTTTTGTCCCCCCCAAAACACTGGGCAGCTTCAGGCTCTCTATGATAAGGTTATGGTTTTAACTTCATGGTCAAGGAGCTGAATTTAAGAAACTACATATTTCATGCATTTCATCAAATATCACAGAAACTAAACAGAGCTATCTGGTTCTTGCTGCTAATTAAACTGGTTTTGAGCAGCCTACTTCCTCTGATGCAATGTGGTTGATGAAGTGGGTGCGCGTTTGCAGAAAAACTTGTATGAAACCCGGCCAATCATAGACTGTCATGTGGAAATGTTATCACGCATGACATACCGTGATTGACCAGAGATAATAAAATAGTGCTATCCCCATTTTATGTAAGTGTTTCTCATGGGTTTGGGCTGCAAGGAACAAACCAAGAGAAATGGTAGTGCATTTGTAGCTGTATAGCACAATGTTGAGGCCCAAAAAATCAAGGGTTGGGCCCAAATAAATCCCCGGCCCAATGCGACACCTTATTAAGAAGAAACCCGATGCGGAGCATGCGAAATTCTTCATGCACGCTTGCACGAGCCACAAACACGTGTCATGCCAAATAAATATGCAATTTATCACGCTAGGAATTAAAATGAGCCTATAAAAGGCATTGGCTCTACAAGCTCATGCTAATTATTTTGTCAAGCATTATGTCTCTTTTCAAAGACGACAAAATTCAAGCACGCCAAGCGACATGCCATGCCAAGCAGGAAATCATTATTTCACACATAGCCACGCTACAAGCTTAAGTGGGCCCAAGCCACGCAAATGCTCGGGGCTTGCTTGAGTGGGTTGTGGTATGGATGGTAACGAGCTTTCATGGGGCCCATTGATGAGCCAAGAAATGGAAGTTTTGGGCTGCTTGGGAGCCCCAAAACTCAAGCCTATTTCTTGAGCCCAAACACATGGGTTAGCATGAGAGAGGAGAGAATATGACCCAATGCCTTAGGAGAACATCCCATAGGCTGCTGTAGCATTTAGGAAAATCCATGACAGTTAGAATGCCCAAAAACGGATAAGCCACTTCCAGCAGCTGGACGAAAGCGTGCGGGCCGCTGGAAAGGAGAACACTGATAACCCCAACGGACAAAGAACTAGCATTGTCATAAGTCTCATACCCAAGTCAAATAGCAAGCCACTGCAAAAACCAACGGAGATTCATAGGAATACCCATCGGACAAAGAACTTCCTCCATCTCTCTTTTCCTCTGCAAGCTCCATCTTGAAAACCCACAAGGAAAGCAGGTGGCGCCTCACCCTTATGGGGGAGGTCCAGCTGCGTCAAAACCTTGGAACCACAAAGGGCTCCTTACCCATGCACCTTGGATAGGAAAATTGCATCAAATAGGATCAAGTGGGAAGAAGCAACGAAAAAGGGAGGAAGAGGTTAGATAAAATTAGGGTTCTTTGTAGCTATAAAAGAGAGCCTTAGCTACCCAGAAAACCAACCCATTCTTCGGAGAGCAAGCTTCCTCTCTCACCTGCAAACCCAGTTTCAGAGCTTGACCAAGCTTTGTCAAGCAACCTGAAATTTACTCAAGCCACCCAATCCTTTTCCTCCGTGGTCTTCTTCTTTTCCTGAGATAAAAAAACCTTCCTAATCTTCCTCTGCCCCAGTCTTAATTTCTGTCCTCTGTAAGAAACTCATGCTTTTCTCTCTCTCAAATTGCTAAACTTGTGAAAGCTTAGCTCCCATGCCACAAGCTCTTCATGCCAAGCCATTCCATTGCTAATTTGTCACGTTTATTTGGTTCATTGGTGAAGGGAACCAAGGTGTTTTCAAAGGGTTTTCACAAACCCTTTCAAAACTCTCTTGGAGCCTGGTCTTCGAACTTAGAAACAGGGGCAACCTCCTCAGCTCATCCTTTACAGCAGCCCAAGCCCATTCGTCTAGCTGCTGGAACAAAAAGACCCCAACACACAACATAATAGTTGAGTTGTTGATTTGGACAAATCATATCTTGTATCTTGTTTTGTTGGCTTCATCTATAATATAACCCAAATTAATTAATGTTTTTTATGATACCCAAGTGTTAGATTTTTATTTTTTTTATGTGTCTCACTTTTCAGATGAGCATCCACTACTTTCTCTAAATAAAAAAGAGTAAAAGACAAGTCTTTGGGACTGGGTCTGGAATTCTACAAAAATCATTGAAAACCAAGACTGTTAATGAATGATTATCAGATTATCCTTCCTTCTCATTTTGATGGAGTTGTTAGATATTCTATGTCCTCCATCCTCCTAAGTCTCGAGTGTGATTTGCACCTAACTTCTTTATCTGATATTCTTTTTTCCTGCCTAAAACTTTCATAGAATAATCATATAATGACATAAAACTTATAGGTTGAGGAGAATTAGAAAATGCATCGAGAGGCCTTGAAATTCATTCATTAGGCAAAAGAAGGAGGAAGAAAGACTAAACTAAAAGCATTATTTGAAGGATGTTCTGAATATATGAACACCAACTTCAAGATTCCTTATATATTGAACTTAAAATTAACATGATTGGTTAGGAAGGAACTATTCTAAAAAGGAAAATGCTTCCCTTCTTCCTTGGAACGAAGCATTTCTACTTCCAACAAATCATAATTTGACATATGTGCAAAAGTAATTCATTAAAAACACAAAAAGAGAAATCTCTACACACATATCAAATTGTGATTAACAGGAAAGTAGGAGTTCATACTTTCAAGAAAAGAGGCAAGTATTTTTCTTATAAGAAATATCGCCACCTACTTCTGTTCTTTTGGGGTTATGTAACATCAAGTCAAGTTTTTCAATTTAACATTAAAAAAAAAAACAGTATAGTTTATAATTTGTTTGTTCTTCATTTAGTGGGTGTGAATGTGATGGATCACGAAAACAAAACCTGAACCTGAATTAAGTCTCCTTATGGCTCAACCACTTCAACAGGGATCGATTAGCTAGTCCACTTCAACTATACTAAGACAGATGCCTAATCAAAGACAAAATCAACCCATTATTATTTTTAAATGTGGGTTGGGTTGCTTAAGCATCCCATTCTGATTAAGGATCCCCACTTTAACACACACTAATTGCATTGTTTATGTTGTTAAATCGTTGTTTTCCATACTTTTTTTTATAAATGATCTGCACAAGTTTAGCAATCATTGAGGTCTTCATAGATAATGGAACATGCTATTCATGCATCGAAATTTTGGGACCCTTCCTCCCTTTTTTTCTCTATTTTCCCTTAGAGTGGCCTAAACAAACTTTCATACCATCACATTTAAACAATTTTCAGTATTAATAAGTTTTAAGGTGATCAAACAACAAATTGCCTAATAAATATGAATCTCGTTTTCATCGACGATTGACAATCTTCCATACACACATGCAACCGTCATAACACACAGGAGCAGAGACACATACAGACCTGTAGTGGCCGTGACCCCCCTAAGCTCCATGAAAAAACCAATAACTCTTAAACACTTGCTGCAATATCAGTTGAAATATAAGACTATAATAAAACCTTATAATTACAGTACTGACCCCCCAAAGACAAACTGCTAGCTCGGTCACTGCTAACACATCTGGCTAAATAAATCTTGATGTGAAATAAGACTAAGAGGTTGGTGGTGTCTTTATATGCAGAATGAGACCCAAAATTTTATATGGCAAGAGTCATGGTCAGTGGTCACTTGTCAGCCGACTGATTCTCACATTTGGACGTGCACAAAAATTTAAACCTAGAGTCTGCCTTTCCACAAGTGCCACTCTGCCAATGATGGCGACCTTCCACACTTACATACTATTCATCGACAACTTTTACGTGCAATGCAAACTCATACAACAAAATTTGAAATTCATTTCACAAGTTTTTTCAGCACTCAGTTACATATAATATAACTTATATATATATATATATATATATAGCTGCATTATTTATTGCGATTGAATCAAGAAGCTGCATTATTTATTGCACATAGGCATAGTCTGCACAGTCACTTATGAATTTGATTGAAACTACTTCAAGCTAATATTAGAATATACCACATTGATTAAAACAAGTCAGTGGTAATATAAAAATTAATCCAAAAAAGGAAAAGAAAAAAAACTAAACCCAAGCAAAATAGCAAGTCTAAAAATATGGTTTGTTGAAGGATGACATTGGCAGCAGAAGAGAAGAGAAGAGAAGAAAAGAACGCGTATGAGGTGGGTGGGTGTAATTTCTAAAACCCTGATAATTAAGCCATACCATCAAATTAAAATACCACCTAAAAAACAACTAACCAAAAAAAAATTTAATTAAAAAAAGCCACCCCAAAAAAAAGAAGATAAAGCAGGGGAGGAAGACAGAGGAAGACAGAGAGATGGAGATTTAAAAGGAAAATAGGATCCGAATTCAACGGAGCCTGTCTTTCTTTATCTCTCTGTCTTGGGTTTTCTGAGGTGTTTTCTGTCTTCTCGCCGTTATAATCTGTTTTGCATTTCCTGTGTGGAAAATTCATTTGGAATTTAAGTAGCAAAGGTTGGTTGAAAACAGAGAGAGGCAGAAAAACAGAGACAAGCTCAAAGAAGGAGGCCGAGTTCCTCACAGGGAACGACGGTTTTCCTCTTCTTATTTTCATGCCGGAATATCAATTCTAAGTCCCTCCAGGTCTGCAATTTCAATTTGCATGTTCCTTTCTCTGTTTTTTTCCCTATAAAATCTGATCCAACGTACGTTTTTTGCTTCCACTATTTAATTTTGAAAACTTTAATGCATTGAATATGATTACGCATTTACTGTTTCTTTAATGGTTCCTAACACATTGCAACTACTCTCTTTGAACCACACGATCAGATGTATTAATTTCTTTTAACATCATAACTGGTTCTGGTTCTTAAATTATCAGCCTCTTCTCTTGTCCTTTCGATCATGATTCATGACTGATGGGGACTTGTGCAGTGCAGACATAAATTTTCCAATATTTCGTGTTCCATTGGTTCTCTGTCAAAACATACATAAAACGTTAACAGATGGAATGTCTTCAAGAATACTCACCTGGTGGTGGGTTTGTAATTGCATTCAGAATTTATTGATGGTTTTTTTTTCTCTCTGTCTTTTTTCTTGCTGGTGTTATCTTCAGGTTTTTCTCAAAAGCATGGCCAAGTGATACTATCATTTGAATTGAAGGTAACTATTTTGAAATTCGGCTACGCGCTTTAAGTCCTGTCAAATGAATTTGTACAGATGTTCTCAGAAAACAAAAGAAGAAGAAAAAGTTGTGTATTAATTGTATGTTTAGAATTGATTGGACTGATTGGGTCCATGCCAACTTCTATATGTTGTAGCAGGAAAATGTTGGAGTCTGCATTAATGCACATCCTAGCTACCTCTCATATTTTCCCTTTATTCTTGTTCAATTTGTTTTTGAACTCCACACAACCAATCATAATGAGTTGGCATAGCTTGCTCTTATATCTTCTTATTGGATTGCAGAGGTTAAATATATATGTATTTGTAGACTGCTCTACATCCAGTGTGTCTTCTGTTTTTGCAAATTTGGCACATTACTTCAAGAAAGAGTAGCTTTGCGATGGGTGTCTGTGTTTCAAAACCTCATGCAACTATTAAAGCCCAGCAGAAAAGGGTCCGCAGAGTCGCCAGACGCCGGGGGAGGAAGGTGAAGAAGGGTGTCACCTCCACTTCTGATGCGGCTACGAGACGGTCTGTTAGTGAGTTTGTACATCTTGACTTTGAGAAAGGTGCTGCAACTACCTGCAAGAGATCTGAGGTTTCTAGTGGCACATTTCACCTCACTCAGCTTCAATGGAACCACAGTCAGATTGATGGAAATGGTGGTAAGTTTGAAGTGTTTAGGACTTTAGAATTTGTCTGTTAAATAACTCGATGTACATAGAAGATGTGAACTGAAATTATATCAAACAGAGGAGCAATATGAAAACTTAACATGCAAAAGAAGATGTGATTTCTGACTGTAAAGATTTCAACTATGTGCAGGGAAATGCCCAGGGGAAGCATGGTTTGACTCCCTTAGTATTATGGAATCTGATTCAGAAGATGACTTCTGCAGTGTGCATGGGGGTAATGAACTTCAATCTCGTCACAAATTACCAAAAGTGATTGTTCTTTTGTGTGTGTGTGTGTGTGTGGCAATTGTGAATTATAGCCAACACTAGTTCTGTCTTTCTGGGTGTCAGATGGGTTTCCTTTAGCAGGTAATATCCCAAATGGTCAATTGGTCCAGTATGAAAGTGCGTCATGCATTGTAGATAATGGATGCAAGTATGAGGGGTTCTATGAAAGTTACCTGAAAATAGATGGAAATGCACGCCATTCGGTAGAGAAAACCCAAGTCAGTTTTAATGACAAGAACCCTAAGCAACCGGCAGTTATCATGCTTTCTTATACGAGGAAATCCATCGACGAAAGTGAAAGGACTGGTAAGTACCTAATATAAGTTTCTGCAGAATGTATATGGATTTTGTGATTATGAGATAGCAATGTGATGCTGCATTTTATTATCCACTAACATTGCTTAAATATGAGTTTAAGCATACACATACACTGCTGCAATACTAAGTGTAACAAGTGTATGAACAGGTGCGTCTGATCATAAATACTTATTTCGCCCAAGAGCAGGACTTCGCATTCCTTGTTCAACCGATGAGAAGCCAAGTCCCGGATCCTGGTCTGCAGTTCCACCTTCAGTATTTAAGCTCCGTGGCGAGAATTATTTCAAGTATGCTAGTCATTTGCCTGTTCCTAATTTTGTTTTTTCTTGATCATTGATTTTGATGGTCTAAACATGAAAATTTTATTATGCAGAGATAAACAGAAGTACCCTGCCCCAAACTACAGCTCATATGTACCAATTGGTGTTGATTTGTTTATTTGCCCCCGAAAGAGAGATCACATTGCTCAGCATCTTGAGCTTCCTTCTGTAAAACCACATGACAAAGTTCCTTCCCTCCTGATTGTTAATATTCAGGTTCTCTCTCCCTATTCACCCCAAAATACTTTGCTGTAGGCTCAGTTTTGATGGTGTAGACTGAGGTGCAATTTCATTGCATTCGTCGTTGTGTATGGAAAACTTCTTGTGAATTGATTCTGGTGTTGTTGTTGCAGTTGCCTACTTATCCTACCACAATGTTCCTTGGTGATTGCGACGGGGAAGGAATGAGTCTTGTATTGTATTTTAAAGTGAATGAAAATTTTGACAAAGAGATATCTGTTCAGTTTCAAGACAGCATCAGGGTACTTCTTCATCAATTTTCCAGTTTCCATATCTCTGATCTGGGTGCACAGAGTATGACTTTCTTTATGTTTTGTTTTCTGTCACAGAAATTTGTTGAGGACGAGACAGAAAAAGTAAAAGGGTTTGCAAAGGATTCAGTGGTTCCTTTCAGGGAAAGGCTAAAAATCATGGCTGGATTGGTCAATCCAGATGACCTCCAGTTGAGTTCTGCAGAAAGGAAGCTTCTATCTGCTTATAATGATAAGCCTGTGCTTTCCCGCCCTCAACACAATTTCTACAGGGTAAAAAGAAAACAAAAGAAAAATGACATATATTTCTTGTTCTCATATAAACTAAAACCAGTGCTTTAAACTAACTGGACCTCTGCAAACTATTTGACAGGGACCTAATTACTTTGAGATTGACCTAGATATCCATAGGTTCAGCTACATATCCAGGAAAGGACTTGAATCATTCAGAGAGCGTTTGACCAACGGCGTGCTTGATTTGGGATTAACAATCCAGGTACATTCAATATGAAACCCTTTTTTGTTTTTTGAGCAACCAGTTTTTACTTTTACACTGACTTGGGGTTTTCTTTGCTGGTTTTGGCAGGCACAAAAACAAGAGGAATTGCCAGAACAAGTCTTGTGCTGCATGCGCTTGAATAAGGTGGAATTTGTAAACCATGGTCAAATACCTACTCTTGTAACTATGGATGACTGATTTGGACAGGCACCTGGATCCTGGAGGGTTTGCATTTAAAAGCCTGTAATTTTCCGGCCAAAACATCAAACAAAAGGCATGTTTTGTAAACATTAGGTCACTGCGACCTATTCAATTCAATGGTGTAAACATGAGATCTGTAACCCACATGATCATACATTGGTAACAAATCTTATAAACAAAAATGAGGACTTAAAGTTATAAGTGAGATTGCAGGTTGCTTATTTAGGTTTTGATAAAAGAAAAGATAAATGATCACGTTTTCTAAACGAATCAATTTGTGGTTTGTTGTGATGAGAATTAACACGCCATTGATGCAGCAGCAATCATAAAAACTTGCAAGTCACATAACTTTGTGCTCAAACTACCTATTAAATACTTGTCAACAAAAGAAGACTATAAATCAAGAACAAAAAGAAATTGGCAAACCCGAAAGTCATAATAATTTCGAGGATTTTCAGTTCAAACACTGATGCAAATAATCATATAAAACATCACTGTTTCCATATACAAAAGAATGCACAGAAGTTGTAAAATTTTAATACAGTATGCTTGTTAATTAGTTTACATACAACAAATATTCGACCTGACTTCTTCCTTTCTTCTTTTCATATTACCTTTCTCCTTTGTACATTAGCAATTGGGAAATTGGGCCTTGGTCAAAACTACGGTCCGGAGTGAAGAGCAGATTCAGGCAAAGATCACATACAACTTTTGCCTGCTTCGTGGAAATTTCAAGTTCTCCGACTCTTGCTTGTTTTCCTGTTGAAACTCACAGAAATTATGTTAATTGTTCTTCTTTTAAGCGTAAACGTGCTACACGCTGTTGGTCACTGTTTCTAAGATCCATCTTGTTAATCTTCTCAGTTCCTGCATCGACTGCTCTTATATTTGATGCATTGTTGTTGGCTGCGTAGTGGCTGCCAGTTTTAGAAGCTGGTACATCATGATTATGTTTTCCCTCATACGTTGTTATGACAGCTTTAGGATCTGTCGAGGCTCTCTCTACATGCTTACGGACATTGCATGCAGGGAACGTGCATTTGTAATAGCTCCTGCAGAATGCAGTATGACAGATGAGGAACTTTTTTAACCAACCATGCACCAAAGAATATACTCCTTCTATTGAAAATGTTAGGCAACATAAAATTTACACAATCTTAACATCAAGACCGAAAAAAGAGAATAGGCAATGAAAACTAGAAGGTTTTCAGCTCTCAAAATTCATTTTCCAGGATTTAAATCTATATGCTATTAGATTTGTAAACAGTTAATCACATGTATTGATATGGTAACGGATTTTTAAACATTTTATGCCATGTGAAGGACATAAAGCGTTAGTTTTGTAGTCACATAAGAAAATCTAATTCCATTCTCAAAATCAAACTAATGATCAGCACCAAACCTCCTTGAAAAAGTCTATTATATTCAAATAGTAAATATGACTAAGCTTAGAAATTAGGATAAGCAGTATTACCGCGGATAAGGGTTGCCTTTGACGACTTTCTGCCCATACTTGCGCCACCTATAGCCATCGTCTAAGAGATCGACTTCACTGGTTGTCTGCACTATGATTCTAGGCTCTGTTACAGTCCGATGTGAAGAAGCTGGCTCCGACCTAACCTCTGTATTTCTGGAAAAATAAAAGGAATGGTGTTAAGGATACAAGACAAAGAGGGAACATTAACTAGACCACAAGTATGCATATCCATATCTACATAAAATAACTACCGTCTCTTTGGGTCAGGTTGATCTTCATCTTTTTCATCTACTCTGGTTTCAGCATCTCCTACTTCCTCACCGTCACTAGTCCCAGATAAATGATCATGTGTTGCTTGGCTAGATTCCTGACCCTTCTTAGATTTGTTCAAATGCCCACCATGAACTTGGGAAGCTAAGTCAGGATTTGCCTGAATGTTTCCAATTGGATTTCCAGAATCCTTTGCACGCTTGGACTGAGGACGTTCATGGTTGTGCTCACCCTTGTAAATAATCTCAGTTATTTGTCCATCAATTGAGCGCTCGACCTTCTTCTTAACAGGACAATTTGAATGCGTGCATTTGTAATAACTTCGAGGAAACTCACTGCCCTTCACCTGCTTCTGCCCATATTTCCGCCAATTGTATCCATCATCATTAGGCTTATCAACAGTAAACGAAGACGGTTGGGATCTCTGATCAGAATGGGAGATGTCAGATGATTCTTTTATAGCCACCCCAGAGTCGGCTGCTCCAGATGGCATCTCCTGGGGTGCTGTTGAATCGGAAGTAAAGGCTGGAAGCTGTGTCAAAGATGTGGTGGGCGCTGTCGATAAAGAAGATGAGTATTCAGTTGGGATATGGAAATAGGAAGAGGATTGTGCAGCCTGAGCTGTGACCTGTGCTAGGGCCTGCTGGTGTGTCATTCCAAAGGGTCCCTACACGATGCAAAAATCACAACCATAAGAAACGAATTCCAAGTAGCGTATCAAAGCAACAACAATGCCCTAAGCAGATTGGTTTGAAGTAGCTTTATCCAATTTTCCTAAAAAACAAGTGAATCAATTCTAAGAACCCAGAACCATTGCCAGATTCCCCCCTTCACCAGAACCCCCCCCAAAAAAAAAAAAAAACGAAAAATAGTTACTAAATTTAGAATCTTTAATCTGTACCTTAATTACAACTACTTGCCGCCATTTAAAACGGACTCAATCTATCGAACATTTGCTACTTTCTTTTCTCATCAGTTCTTTATAAATAAATAAAGTAACCGACAAGACATTGTACTCGGAAAAATCTAAACCGAAAAAAAAAAACGAAACTTTTCAAAAATGGCCAACTCTCAAATACGCTAGAGACAAGAGGTAAAGGTAAAGGAGTTGAGTACCTGACCAGGCGAGAAGAGCCTCGGCGAGTCGAGCAAGCCCGGAGACGGGACCGAAAACATCGGCGACGGTCTGTTATGCTTGAACCGGAAATCGGAGTTGTCGTCACCGTCGCCGGAGCTTCGGTCTTCGAGCTGAGGGAAGCCCGGCGGCCTGGCCGCCGGAGACATGGCTCCTGCGAGCAGCTGAGAGAAGGACTTGCAGTCGTCGCCGTCGGACAAGAAGCTGGAGACGAGTGTCATGGGCCCTGGGCTGAAGCCGAGGCCGAAACCCGGCCCACTATTGGCGCCGCCGGAGTTGAAGAGCGTCTCGAAAGAGGTGCGCGGAGGGAGGGTGATCGTAGGACGCGGAGGAGGAGGAGGAGGAGCAGCTGATTTCAAGGGTGAAGATGAAGTGGACGGCGGTGGGCCCGGTGGCTGCTCTCGGTTCTCAGCCATTTGATCGAAAAGCCAAAAGCCAGAACTTTCAACTAACTCTCTCTCTCTGCTATTTTTCTCTTTCTGTGTTGTTTTGTTTGCTTTGTCTGTCTGAGTGTCGATGTGGTTATTTTTGGCTCTGTGGATCTGAAATTCAGCAAAAAGTCCACGCCGCAGATACGAAAAAGCTCTCTCTGATTTTCCCTTTTATTTTCTGTTTTTGTCTTTTTTATTTATGGGATTTGTTGTTTGGTGTAGGTGGCGGTAACTACCACTCCCTCCGCGCTCCAGCTTGGATGCGAAATGACGACAATGCCCCGAAGACTTTCCGGAAACTACGGGATTGCATTTTTTGTGTGTAGGATAT